GAATTAGTCTCAAATAGTACTGAACTAGGCATGGAGGATACAAAGTCAGGAACAAAGTTAACCAACTAAAACAAAAGCAGTTCCAGTCTGGCACATAGTAAGCAAGGTTCTGTTGGGGAAAGCAACATCTCTGTAGGTACTTAATAAATGTTTATTAATTGATCTATTGATTGATAATGCAGGTTCAGTAATAGTTTTAATTTAATTTGAAAGCAGTCACTTATTTTCTAAGACTTTTCATTAAGGGAAGTTCTATTAGAATAGATGAGAGTTATATGTTGTTACCTTGATTAAAGATTATATTGGTTTGTATACTAATTTATTTATCTCACTTTCATAAATGAAGTCAAATAATTAATATGCCAACTGTAATTATGGGCTTAGTAAGTGTAATAAGGAAAGGAAAAGGATTATTATTGTGTTTAGTGTGAAGAATTTAAGCAAAGTTGAGGATATCAAATTTTATGGCAAAAATTTGGTTAGTTTTACTCATTAATTTATATCTAATATCCGGTGTTATCCAGATTAAGTATTTATCAATTGAATTTCTAGATATATAACAATTTCTGGAGTCAAAGTCACTTGGATTTGTGCTGGGTAGGCCAACTAGGCTGTTGTTCTGGTCACAGAAAAGAGGCATTATGGGTCAATAGGTTGAACACTTGAAATGAGCAGCTCTGCATCTGAGTCCTTCCTTTTTCTCTGTCTCTCTCTCTGTCTCTCCCTCTCCCTCTCTTTCTCCTTTGTTCTTAGCATAGTCATTAAGTCTAGCTTAATAAATTCCTGTTGGATGTTTGAGTCCTGATTCTGAATCAGGAAGTTCTTCCACATCATGCAAAAGGTTTGCAAAATTTAAAGTCAAGTAACTTCTCAGAGTCCCAGCTAACTCTCTAAGATTTAAAATGAAGAACAATTAGCATTCTTTATTGGCAAGGGAGCTTCCTCATCTAAATTCCCTGCAACAATAAAACCATAGGTCCTGACAAAAGCAATGAAAAAGTCTATGTATGGTATGGGGAGTGGTTGGACAGCAGCAGGGACTGGGTAATTCAAGCACTTTAGCCTAGAAATGAGATGCCCAAAATTATCTAAAAGTTTAGGGAGTAATTTGAAATAGGCAGTTTGATAAGATTGAAAGAAAGTTCATTTTGAGTCAAGAAAAATCTTTTATTTTACATTTGACACTTAGTAGCAGTGCATAGGGGCAGATAGGTGGCACAATAGATTGAGTTAAGTACTGGGCTTGGAGTCAGGAAGACTCATGTTCCTGAGTTCAAATTTGATTTCAGATACTTAGTAGCTCCGTGACTCTGAACTACCTTGTTTGCCTCAGTTTCCTCATCTGTAAAATGAACTGGAGAAGGAAATGGTGAACTGCTTTAGTATCTTTGCCAAGGAAACCCAAATGGGGTCACAAAAGAGTCAGACAGGATTGTAAAGACTGAATGAAAATAAGCTGTGCAACTCTGGGCAAGTGACTCACACTCCTTGAGCCTTAGTTTTCTCATCTGGAAAATGGTGATAATAATCTGGATAAATGGTGATAATGGTGATAATAGTACCTATCACAGTGTTGTTGCAAAGGTAAAATGAGGTAATGTACATGAAGCACTTTATAAGCCTTAGAGGCCTTCCAGTTGAGATGGCTGTTTGAATGGGGAAAGCACACTGCCCAGATCCCACATACCTAGTCAAGCAAAAACCTGAATTGTTCCCCAGACCTAATCTCAATCAAGAAATATATTTTTGGTAGCTAAGTGATACAATGGATACAGTTCAGGGCTTCTAGTCAGGAAGCCTTAAGTTTAAATACAGCCTCAAATCTTTACTAGCCATGTGACCCTACAAAAGTCACTTAATCATTGTCTGCCTCAGTTAACTTATCTGTTAAATGGGAATAATTATAGCACCTACCTACCACACTTATTCTGAGAATAAAGTGGGTCAGTGTTTGTAAGCACTTTGCAAACTTTAAAGTGCTAGATAAATGCTAGTTCTCATCATCATCATCATCATCACCATTAAAACTGGTATAATAACTAAACCAAAAAAGATACCAAGCAGTATAAAAAAATATTGTAGATCTAGTGATACCCCAAAATTCATCCTAGGAGAAATTCCATAATGATGACAAATAGAGACGGAAAGAAAATAATACATTTTCCAAACAAAAACTGCCAAATATGAAGAACTACTATAAGAAGAAATGAAGCAAGATATTAAAAAAGTGAAATAGAAGCTCTTCAAGATAGAACTGGAATAATAATAAATAGCTCAGAAGTGAAAGTAGTGAATTTTGCCCAAGGAGTGGACTCCCTGAAAGCCTAGGTAAAGTAGACAGAAACTAATGAATCTGTGAGAAAACAAGAAATATTAGCACAATATCAAACACTTGAAAATGATAGAAGCAAATGTAAGACATTTGATATCCAAAACAACTGGAATGGAAAATTGACCAAGGAAAAATAAAATTAACTGGACTTCCTGAAAACGTGATTAAAAAGCAAAAGTCTAAACACTATATTTCAAGAAATCATGTATGAAAACTGCTTGAATCTATAAGAAACAGTAGGAAAAGTGAAGCTAGAAAGAATCGACTAATCACCTTCTGAAAGAACATCATAAGGAAAAGTGTCAGGCATGACCAAATACCAGAGCTACTCATCAAAGAACAATTTAAGCAAACATTCAGAAAGAAAGAATTAAGTTACCAGGGAATCACATTTGGTGTCACATAAGACAATAGATTCTACCATAGATAAGAGGAAATCTCAGAACATAGTATTCCAAAAGGCAAACAAATACAAATTTACAACCAGGAATAAGTTATCCTTCAAAGCTGAGAGGAAGGTGAAGAGAATGGACCTTTTATTTAATAGAGGACCTGTTAGCATTTCTGATGAAAACAGTGGAGCTGAGTAACAACTTTTAAATACAAACAAAAGAAAAAAGATACCTGTAGAAGTAACATTTTCATAATTGGAAGGGGCCATATGATATATTGCTAACATTCTAGTAGAAGAAGAAACATGTGTTCCTTCATACCTTGAAGTCTTTATAGACAAAGAAGAAGGAGAAGAAGGAGGAGGAGGAAGAGGGAAAACAGAACGGAGTGAATTGGTTCAGTTTTTAGTATTTTAAGAGAGAAAATAGAAGATTGAAGGAAAAAGGAATATAGTACTATTGAAAGGAGAAATAAAGGAGTGAAGCTGCTATTGCTTTTAAATTGAAGCATGTGAGAAGGAAAGTATAAAATGTAGAGAAAGAAGGAAAATATATGGAAAATAGCATTGTCCAAAAGAAGAAAAAGGAAGGGAGGGAGAAAAAGAAAGGAAGAAAGAGAAAGAAAGAAAGAAAAAAGAAAAGATGCTTGAAACTATACGCTGAGTCCATCAGCTCTGTATCTGGAGGTCAGTAGCATGTTTCATCATGAGTTCTTGTAACTGTGTTTTACCATTGTGTTAATCAGAGTTTTTATCTTTCGAAGTTGATAATCTTCACAATATTGTTGTTATTATATAATTATATAATTTTTGTTCTGGTTCTACTCATTTCACTTTGTATCATTTCATATGTCTACCCAGGGTTTTTTTTTTCTGAAATATCACTTTCGTATGCCATAGTCATCCATTTCACAATTGATGGGCATCTCTTTAGTTTCCTTTTCATTGCCACCAAAAATAACTGAATACACACACATGTAATTGATATGGACAACTAGACTCTCTCTCTCTCTCTCTCTCTCTCTCTCTCTCTCTCTCTCTCTCTCTCTCTCTCTCTCTCTCTCTTCCCTTCTCTCCATATAGATTCTTTCTCTACTTCTTTGACCTCTGGGGAACAAACAGTAGCAATATCACTGGGTCAAAGGTTATGCACAGTTTAATAGCATTTGGGGCATAGTTCCAAATTGTTTTCCAGAGTGGTTGGACCAGTTCACAGCTCCACCAACAGTGCATTAAATTACATATTTTCTCACAGTTCCTCTGGTATCTATGATTTTCCGTTTTTGTCAACTTAATCCATCTTATGGATGTAAGTGCAAGTTGGTACTTTAGGGTTGTTTTAATTTGTACTTTTCTAAATTTTTAATGCTTTAGAGTATTTTTTTTTAATATGGCTAGTGATAGGCTTTGATTTCTTCCTCTGAAAATTGCCTGTTCATATCTTTTAACTATCAAATGAGGAATAGTTCTTATTTTTATAAATTTGACTCAGTTCCCTGTATCTTAGAAATAAAACTTTTATAAGAGAAGCTTACTGCAAAGATTTTTTTTCATTCTTTTCTGCTTCTCTTCTAATTTTAGCTGCGTTGGTTTTGTTTGTGCAAAAACTTTTTAATTTTATGTTTTCAAAATTGGTCATTTAACTTCCTGTGAACCTCTCTATTACTTGTTTGGTCTTGAACACTCCCTCTATTCATAAATCTGACAGATAATTTATGATATCCCTTAGAAATATGCATTTTTATTTATGGACACCAAATGCATTAATTTTGCTTGACTCTACTTATTACAAGTTATAAATTTCCCTCCTATCCTTCTACCTTCTTGGCTTTTAGTTGGAAGTGTGTTAGGCAGGGGAAACAGATTACAAAAGAGGGTCATAGAAATATTTTTATTTTATTTTTTAATGCACAGAAGAGAAGGAAGGACAGATAAATAGTATCATTTTGAATATAATATGTAGAATTTATTATATGCATTTTTAAAAAGTAAGCAGTATAAAATACAAATTAATGGTTAATCTTTTTTTGTGTCCTGTAGGCTCATTTTTCTGGTTTTTAAATTTAGGAAAAAATTAATTTAAAAACAAACCTTTAAGTGCCATATAAATATCAATTATTATTTTATTAGAAATCTTAAAATAAAACTTTTCAAAATCAAAGTCAAAAATAATTAGATAATTTAGGCATGAAGGAATTTATAGATGTAGTGACATTAGAGCATGCATATCCCATTTGAAGTCTTATTTATTTGCTTAATTGTTTTCTTCCTTTTCAGCACCTTGTGGATATAATGTAACCTCTCAAAATGGCACAGTTTATTCCCCAGGATTTCCAGATGAATATCCAATTTTAAAGGACTGCATATGGCTTATTACTGTTCCTCAGGGACATGGAATTTACATCAACTTCACCTTGTTACAGACTGAAGCAGTGAATGATTACATTGCAGTCTGGTATGTGATCTTAAAAAAAATCACTAATCTGGATAATTTGACTTTGACTTTCACTGTCTGTAACTACATATTGTGTAGTGAAGTGTGGCTTTACTAGACACTAGGTGGTTAAACATGAAGTTGAAAATAAATTTAGAAAATTTATCCCCGATGAAAGGCTGAATAAGCCACATGTATTAAACAATTAGAAACATCCTGTATAAGTTTTTAATTAATTAACCCATCTACCATTTTTTTGGGGGGAAAATAAGGTGTGTCAATATACAAATGATTTGTTATTTTAAGCTACATTGTGAACCTAATGATTTTTTTATGATGATGGAAAACTTGTAGTAATCCTTTGCCTTTATAAGAAATTATTATTATAAATATTGCATTAAAAATTATGTGCTGTTGAATAAACATATAATATGGAAAACTAAACGTAGCCCACACAAGCTCAGGATAATTAAAATCATGGTCAATGTTTAAGTGAAAGATAAAATTCACATACAAATGTATCTTTTTATCCTGAGCATCTTCTGTGACTTAAGTTTTTAAATCTTTTTTTTGGTTCTTTTTCATTTGAGTTTTTACTTTAACATCTCTACTAATCAGAGCCAAGGAATTTTGGCATTTAGTAGTATCATAAATATGAAATTTAGAAGAATAAGCTTGTTTTGTCAATTTTTCAATGCATAATAATATTAATACTTCAACCGATGGTTTAAGAATAATTTTCTGAATTCCTTGAGCTAAGTGAACTCAACAGTTTGCCTTTTACAGTAACCTTGCATATCTGTCAGCTTTTAGTAAAAAAAGTTTTTACCAGATTTTAGTAAAAAAAAAAAAGGAACAACAATATTTACTATACATTGTATAATAGGAAAACTGATAGACTAAGATCCTGGTGACCTGATTTTTAATACAGTATTTGCTATTAATCAACTCTCTAATTTTAAACAAGTCACTTAGTCTCCCCTTTCAGGGGTGGGGAACCTGTGGCTACATGTGGCCTTATAGGTCCCCAAATGAGGCCCTTTGACTAGATCCAAATTTCACAGAACAAATTCCCTTAATAAAAGGCTGTGTTCTATACAACTTGGACTCAGTCAAAAAGCTGCACGCAAGGACCTAGAAGGCCACATGTGGTCTTGAGGCAGCAGGTTCCACACCCCTGTCTGCTTGCCTTAGTTTCTATATCTGTCTAATGGTAATAATTGCCTCTGTAGTTTTTAACTTTTAGGTTTTTTTAAGGATCAACTGAGAAATTATATTTGAAAACACTTTGAGAAGTACAGTGCTCTTTATAGATGTCTTAAGGTATCATTTTGTACCTAGTTATCAGGCTAGATAATTGTAAGATAATGGAATTCTGAATCACAGTCTTACCATCTGTGTGACATTGAGCATCCACTTAAACTTTTTGGCCCTTAGTTTCTTCAACTGTAAAATGAAAAAGTTAACTAGATGGCCTGGTAATTCTAGTTCTGGGATTCAAGGAAGGGAATCTTCCTTAAACTTCAATTACAATTGGAATATATAATGTTTGAAGTACATTATTAAATTAGGTCAGGGGTTCTTAACCTTTTTTTCTGCCATAGACCCCTCTGACAATCTGGTGAAGCATATGGACCCCTACTCAGAATAATTTCAAAATAATTACAGAAAATGCTAATTTTCAGTTAGAAGTTATTGAAATAAAGACGTGATTTTTTTTTCATCTGATCTTAGTTCATGGGTTCTCTGAAATCTATCCATGGGCCCTTTAGGGGTTAATATATCCCAAGTTAAGAACACTAATATCACAGGCTCACACTGTGGTAGTAGGTATGGAAAATATTGTCACCATCCTTATTTTATGGATGAAGAAAATGTGATTCAGAAAGATTGACTTGCCTAGATTGTTGGAGGCAAAATTTAAAAGTGACTCTCCTGACTTCACTTTATAATTCTCTTTCTCAAGATCTAAAATACATTTTAAATTTCATGTAGTACAACCCCCAAATTTGAGTTTCAAAATAATCAAGTGACATATTCAAAGGGAATAGTGGACTTGGCACATAAAGCTATTTTCTCTTCATGAAACAGCATCCCAGAGTATGCACAAGGAATAAAGGAATAAACTGTGTGCAACAGTAAAGGAAGAAAATATCCTTGAACCTGATTTTATTCGAAGCTTAAATGGGTACTGATTCCTTCAAGTGCCTGGATTGACCCTGATGGATGAAGACAAGCATCAGAGACACATATTGATTTAGTTCTTATTCAGCCTGGGTCTAATTCAGAGAGGTCACAAAAGCCACTGATGCTTTTTTGGCTCTTACTTACATGGCACTTTACTGTGCTGGTTTCATTTGCTTACTAGAGGAACATGCTCATTTATTATAAATCTTCTAGAGAGAATAGATTCCATCTTCTCTGAAACATGGGACCACCATTTGACACAATTCCATAATCTTCTGAGAACCATGGAAAATTCTAGCTAAGGGTGAAATATTAAGTAATTTTAGAGTGGGCATTTACATCATTCAGAAATAGTTACCGTGCAGAGAGTCATACAACTGGAAGGAATTTCAAAGGTTCTGTAATCCAATCACTCATTTAATAGAAGTAGATTAAAAAATGTTCGGTAGTAGAAAGATCTACAGTTAGGTGACACAGTGGATAAAGCACCAAGCCTGTAGTCAGGAAGATTCATCTTCTTGAGTTCAAATCTGGCCTCAGACATTTACTAGCTGTGTGACCCTGGGCAAGTCATTTAACCCTGTTTGCCTCAGTTTCCTCATCTATAAAATGAACTGGGGAAGGAAATGGCAAACCTCTCCAATATCTTTGTCAAGAAAACCCCAAAGAGTTGGACATGATTGAAACAACTGAACAACAGGTAGAAAGATGTCTGGAGTACCCTGTAGTCAGGATCCCTCAGTTCAGATCCTGGCTTTGATATTAACCAGCTGTATGATGTTGAACAAGTCATTTCCCTTTTATGTGCCTAGCCTTCCTTGGTAAAAAATAAAGGGTTTGACTTAGATGATCTTTAACATTCATCTCAACTCTAAATCTTATGATGCCCTTATTGTATAAAGAGGAAAAAACAATAGCAACAACCAAAAAGAATTCAGTTTTCAGAAATAAACGGTAATGAAATTGAAAGAACTAGACTTAAAACCAAAATACCTGACATTGAGTGCTCTATTCCATCTCTGTCCCTAATCAACCATGTAGTCACATGAACATTTCTTAGTTTGCACATCTCTGTAACAAAGATTATGATGTGTGTATTCCTTACCTTAAAGAATTAGAAGTAAAGTACTTTGTGTAACATAAAAAATACAGTTTGAATGAGGACTAGTGATTTTCAAAAGTATGATTAAGTTTGTCCATTAAAATGTGGATTTCTCTACTTCAGAAAGAAAATTCAGATTACTTTTCAAACACTGATATAAATGTGACCTTGTTATACAATTTCTCTGAAAATCTCAACTTTGGAATGAAAAGAATCATCTTCATTGGCTTTTTAACTTTGAATACCAATAATATAACCAGTCCTGTGATTATAATGATTAGCTCACTTTTACAAAGATGAAATTCTCAGTCAAGCGAAAATTGATTGTTAATTTAAATGATAATTTAATAGCTTTTCATGCAAGAATTGCTCTTTTTTCCCCCTTTTTCCTAGGGATGGTCCTGATCAGAATTCACCTCAGCTTGGCATTTTCAGTGGTAATACTGCCCTTGAGACAGCTTACAGCTCCACCAATCAAGTGCTCCTCAAGTTTCACAGTGACTTTTCAAATGGAGGTTTCTTTGTCCTCAATTTCCATGGTTAGTTTATTTTCACCAACTTTTGTAACTCAGAAAGGGCTTGTCTTCTTTTTCCAATCTTCCACCAAATTCACCATTACTAATCTTTGAGCCAAATACACATTTAAGGTTCTTATGATGAAATATGTGAAGTCATGCTATCTACTTTTGGCAATAACCCTGCAGCTGTATCCTACCCAATACTTTTTTTTTTGAAAATTTTAAGGATTTGTTGTTCATGGAGTAATGGACTTGAGTTTTAATGCTGGATCTGTTACCAATCAGCTATGTCATCTTGGATGTATTGTTTAACTTCTCCTTGGCAGAGTTTCCATAATATCTGTTCATTCCATATTTTGGACCTGAATAGCATTTTAAAAGGTTAATATGGACAGGTGTTTCTTTTTGATTAAGGGAAACAAGTAATGTGTCAAGGAACATATTAAAAATATCAATCAAGACTGAACCCTTGGAAAGAGCATTGGATTTGGAATCAAAACATGAAACAAGTTTCAAATCCTTGCTATGTTGCCTAATGCTTTAGTAATATTGGAAAAATAATTTCAATTCCTTGGACTCCCTGTCTTTTAAAAAACGAGAAGGCAAGACCTCATGCTGTCTAAGGTCCCCTTTTCTCTAAATCCTGTTAGTTTAAAATAATGATAAACATAAGACACCTTCAAGTTTTTAATAGGAAAGATTTAGTTGACATTATTTAGCACCTTTGACTCTTTGCCATATAGATATTATATGTACATGTGTATCAATCAGTCAACAAGTATTAAGTACCTTACTATGTGGTAGGCACTGTACTAAGCTTTGGAGATAAAAAGAAAGGCAGAAGACTGTTCCTACTCTTAACAAGCTCATAGTCTAAGGGGGGGGAGAAAATGTGCAAACAACAATATATAAATAAACTATATACAGGATAAATTGGAGACAATCCACAGAAGGAAGGCACTAGAACTAAGGAGGATCAAGAAAAGTTTCCTGTAGAAGACAAGATTTTAGCTGGGTCTTTAGGGAAGCCAAGAGGCAGAGATAAGGAGGCATGTGTGTGAGTGTGGGAAGATCACTTTGGCAGTGTGTGGAAGATGGATTGGAGTTGGGGGAAGACTAGTAGTAGGAAACATGGACAGGCAATGTAAACATATGTGCATACACAGATTCTTAATAATAAATGCAACATAAGGTTTTGAATCTAATGCCATTAAATGTTTTAGAAGCTTATTTTGTGATATAAGATGAAACACCTTATCAAAATCAAGACATATGATTTATACAAGCCTCTTCCCTTTCCATGGACCTATGTTCTATCATAGAGGTAAATATGTGATATCTCAATAGCTTTAGGTCTTTCTGTGACTTTCTGTTTAATGATTTGTTGTATTATACCCTATTCTCGTGTAATCATAGAGTCAAAGAAATGTAGAATGCCAAGACCAGTAGGTGCCTTAGAATCTAATCCCCTCATTTCATAAATAGGGAAACTAAGCACTAGAGAAGTTGTGAAATGTCTAAGCTCAAACAGCATATTCTTCTTTTCCTTTTTCTTTCTTTTTTTTTTTTAAGGCATTTGGGGTTAAGTGACTTGCCCAGGGTCACACAGCTAGTAAGTGTCAAGTGTTTGGTCAGAGGCCGGATTTGAACTTAGGTCCTCCTGACTTTAGGGCCAGTGCTCTATCTACTGCACCACCTAGCTGTCCCCAAACAGCATATTCTTAATAAAATGAATAATAGTGTTTTTAATCTGGCTGTAACAAGACCATGTGATATGGGAACTTTTATTCATTGGACTCTGGGGATGCCCAAATATGAAAGGCAGACGACTAAGCCTAGGAGACAAGAGGCGCTTACGGCTGTCTGAAGTAGTTTGTCACCAAAACGTTCTCTTGAAACTGGTGATCATTTTGACATGTTACTAGAAGATCATATCCCTGGGTGTTGGTGATAGAATATAATAAGTGCAGAGTTACAGAGTAAGGAGTATATGGAGAATAGAATATAGATGAAGAATCAGTGTTGTGAGTGAGGTGGTGGAGTTGAGGCAGAAAGTATTAGTGTGAGAGGATTAGTGGTAAGGAGTTAGGAGGAGCTTCTCATGGGGCTTCTGGGTGGCACAGTGTATAGACAGTGCCTGCTCTCAAGAAGCTGAGAGTTTAATGGGGGGAAAATGTGCAAACATCAATGTACAAATAAGCTATATGCAGCATAAATTGGAGATAAACAACAGAAGGAAGGCACTAGAACTAAGGAGGATCAAGAAAGGTGTCTTGTAGAAGACAAGATTTTAGGCTCCTGCAGTCAGGAAGAGTCATCTTGAGTTCAAATCCATCCTCAGACACTTATGAGCTGTATGACCTTGAGCAAGTCACTTAGTACAAATGAGTCAGTTCCTCATCTACAAAATGAGCTGGAGAAGGAATTGGCAAATCACTCCAGTATATTTCTAAAGGTAACTCCAAATGGGGGTCACAAAGAGTCAGACACAATTAAAACAACTGAACAAATCAGAGTGTTAGGGAGTGGGGATCTACACAAAAGTCTGTGTGTGTGTGTATGACTCATTGTGTGTATTTTCTTTCTCTAGTCTTCGATAGAAGGCCTGACCTATACTCACAAATGTCTTTCCCCCTTCACTCTTCTTAGCTATCTGTCCCTCTTTACCCCCAGACTTCCAGATGTGCATGGATGGATCTCATCTATTCCTCCTGAGGTCCAGTATCATCAGGAGAATGAGCATTATAATGTCCAACAGCTAGTACAGTATCATACTGTCAGGTGGCCAAATATAGACAGTAGAAGGAATGGATTAAAAGGATCCTGGGGCATTTTTGGTTTTTGTTGCTGCTGCTGTTGTGCTTGTTGCTGATATTTGAGCAGTACCCAGTAGCAGGTTGAAAAAAGTACCTATTATTAGGTGGCAAGTTAGGGAAGCAAGTGGACGTTTTGAATTGGAGAAGTGAGAATGGTAATAGCTGCAGATTGAAAAGAAACAGATTTTTATTTCAAAAAAGCAGACCTAAAAGGAATTTGGAGCCAAGGAAAGAGGAGCAACAGGTCTAATAAGATCAATGAGATCAAGAGGAAGGAGAAGCAACTGAAAACAAAGATCCAAAAAGTTGTCTTAGAGGAAAAAAAACATGAGAAATAAGGGAAAGAAAATCTATAATAATTTGGAAGAAGAAAAGGAGCCTCATGAATGAATACATAGAATGTAGGGATACTTAACAAATTGGAGATAAACAACAGAAGGAAGGCACTAGAACTAAGGAGGATCAAGAAAGGTGTCTTGTAGAAGACAAGATTTTAGGCTCCTGCAGTCAGGAAGAGTCATCTTGAGTTCAAATCCATCCTCAGACACTTATGAGCTGTATGACCTTGAGCAAGTCACTTAGTACAAATGAGTCAGTTCCTCATCTACAAAATGAGCTAGTCATAGTATGACTTTTTTTTAAACATCCTGAACCTAATTCCAAGAAAGGTAAAAATACTTTCCTCTTTTATCTCATTGAAGTAGAATAACTGTGGAGTCCCCTAAGGAAGTTCCCAGGGGAAGAGAAGGGAATACAATTAAGCTATAGAGGTATGCCTGATTTGAAAGTCAGACAGTTGAGTATAGAAGCAAAAGTGACTTGTAGCTGTCTATAATTTTAAGTTCCTCCTGTGAAGGTAATCAGCAAGATTATGCATATGTCTGGCCCTAGTACCTTCTTAATGACATTATTTTAGCAAGTGGGAGGTGGGGGGAAATGATGATTAAAACTCTACCTGATGTTGTATCTGAATAAAAGAATGCTGATTTCCGGTATTCTCCACATGGGAGAAGAGGGCACTTTGGTATGGGAATGGGCAATGTGCAAACAGAATAAGAGCAAAGAGCAACATGATACAAAACAATAATATTAATACCAAAAATAGCTAGCATTTACATAGCACCCGCCATGTGGCAGCCACTGTGGTAAACTCTTTACAAATATTATTACATTTGGTTATTATAGAAACCCTGGGAAGAAGTTGCTATCATTATCCTTATTTTACAGATGAGGACGCTGAAGTTATGTGACTTGCCCAAAGTCACACAGCTGGTAAATATCTGATGCTAAATCTGAACTTAACTCTTCTTGACTCCAGGCCTAAGGAGTCTATCCACTGCACCACGTCTCTGCCTCAATGAAGGCAGCATGAAACCATGTGGGATTTGGAATGAGAAAACATGTATTCAAATCTTCTTTAGACTTTAGTTCTTCATCTATAAAATGGGGGTTCTGAATATGTGGCCTCAAAGTTCCCATATAGCTTTAAATCTAAGATCCTATGACCACTGGCTAGTTGAGTAAATCTATGGTCATTAAGGTAGCAGTTTTTGTAAGGGAACTTGCAGAATGATTAAAAGAGCTGAATATGAGTGAGAGAGTCCATAAAATTGTTATTACTAGAACTTTAGTATAATTAGACTAAATTGTTCTTAACCTGTCCTTGACAAAGTCTGAGATGGGACATTATTATAACCAAATCTGCATTGTAAGAGATAATCTCCATCAATTTAATAATATGAACAAAGGTGAATTCAGAATAATATAAGGAAAAGAAACAAAATCATAAATCTTTCATTTCTGTTCCTGTAATGCCCAATGAAAGTAGAGTAGTATATCATAATTAGCAATGTGGAGTGCATAATATTGTTGACAAAAACATGGAAGGACATAAAGTTGGACCAAGGGTAGGGCTCTAAATTCTAGGGATTTGTGTGATCTAAAATTTTTATTTAAATTAGGAGTCAAAACTTTTAAAAGTCTCAAGCCTGTGCTTTTACATAGGTGTAGATTGTGTGTCTCTATATATGTCTACATGTATACTTAAGTACATACATATTTAAGTATGCTTAAATACAAATATATATAAAGTATACTTAAAGTATATATGTGTGTATATGTACATATATTTATATATATTTATGTGTATACAGACACTTAAGAGATAAGGTATATGCTTGTGAGTTTAAAAAATTGTAACTTTAATATGTGTGTGTATGTATGTATGTACATATATATATAATTTTAAGGATACTCATATATTATGCATATATATCAAACTTCAGATCATTATATGATAGTTTGGCTTATCTTCAGCATTTAATCACTATTACTATTTTCCAAGTGATTTCTAATCTGATAAAAATTAAATGATCATGAAGGCTTAACAATAGAGATATGATTAATCAACCCTATAAATATTATGGAAATTTGAAAATAAATATAACTGGAAATTTTAAAAATTTGTCTATCTTCAAAGATAATGCAATTGAATGTCATTTCCCATAATTTTTAGCTTATCAGCTGAAGAAGTGTCAGTCTCCACCAGCAGTTCCACAGGCTGAGATACTTACTGAAGATAATGATTTTGAAATAGGTAATATACTAACTGTCCATTTTTGTTATGCACTCTTATCACTTGAACTGTGTTATGTTCTCTGTAAATCATGCTTTCAGATTAGTAGGAGTACAACTTTGTACATTTGTTACCATTTATCCCAACTTTAAAAAAAAAGACTTTTAAAGGTATTTGTGGTGTCATATTGTATTAGTGGTCATATGTTATTACATGAGATTTTTTTTCCTTTCCAGCTGTGAAAATTCTTCTACTTTTTCACTTAAACACTTATAATACTTTAAGTTTTCAATATGATTTATGTACATTATTTTAAAATATTTCTGACATGTTTTTGCTTCATTCTTTTTCTGGAATACGATTGTTTTTAATAATGAGAAATAGACAACTTTTAAAAACTTTTAAAACTTAAAAAACTTTCAAAAATAAGTTCTTCAAACATTTCAGTGATTCCATGATTCCATCATTGTGAGTATCCCCTATTATCAGTGCCAATAACAACCTACTCAGACCTTGTCATCACATTTGATTCCTTTCCATTTTCCTCCATATTCTCTGTACTTAGTAATTCTCCGGTATGTTGCAGATCTTCCTTAAGGTCTAAGACTAAGCATTTGGATGGTCTGTTATCCCTTCCTTGCTACATGACTCAACCAGTGTTAAAATTATAACCAGCTTTAAACTGACCCTTCACTGAAAAGAATGACATTATTAAAAGATATTTAATTGACATTATTTTGAAGTTCTAAATTTGTGGTCTTTAATTTGGACTCTAATTCATTAATGTCATTGATGAATGAGGTAGTCATGAGTGTATGCCCAGCCATTAAGCTCAGTTGATTCTAAAATGACAATCAGGGTTAGGCTGTTCTTCCATTTTATTATTTCACTCCCACATTCCTTTGGTCCAACCAAGCTAGCTTTCAGCTTTCTTGATGTTTCTCAAATATGACACTGCATTTGCCAACTCTTTTACCAATACCATTGCACTGATTGTTTTCCGTATTTGCAGTATGCTCTCAAAGCTCCTGCACCTTTTAGAATTCCATTTCTTTCAAAACTCTACTCAAATGACACCTTATGTTCAGGTTTTCATGTGCTCTTAGCTGTTACATTTTTCTTCAACATTTTCCTTATATATATTTGGTTTATATTTATTTATGTATATATGCCTTATTACCCAAACAGAATGTATGTTCCTAAAAGGCAGGAGTTGTTTGATTTTTGTTTTTGTATTCCCAGTGCTGAGCACAGTATCTGACATTCAGTAGGAACTTAATAAATGTTTAGTGATTGATTCATTCAACATTGAGTAACGTGTAGGGTACCGAATAAGGTACTAAGGGGGAAACAAAAGATAACAAAAACAATCCTTGCCTCAAAGAAACATAAGCTAGTAGGGAAACATATTGTTATTGCTATTATTATTCCTAATGATTATGACTATGATAATCAATAAGACAGGCAGCATAATTTGGAGGATAGAAAGTCAGGAAATCCTGGGTTAAAGTATTGCCTTTCACACATACTAGCTTTGTGACCCTGGACAAGTTACTTAACCTCTCACTTTTCCCATATGGATTTCTATGGCTCTAAATTGCACAACATATGACCATCTGCATTAGTAAAGGGAGATTCTGAGCTTCCTTTTAAACAATTGCCTATACCAGGTAAAATCAGTACTTTGGTTAATAATGATAAAAGTGTAGTGATTAATGAGAAGCTTAAAACAAAGGGCTTCAAGAGTTCAATAGAAGGCAAGAATATGTATTTCTAATTGGCAGGATCAGAGAAAAACATCTTGGAGGAGATGGCCTTTGAGCTGGGCCTTTGATTCATGTAAGGATATTAGTATGGAATTATATGGCCAAAGTGAATACTTCAATACTATCCAAATGTCTGAAAATTTTACATAATTAGTAACAGTGTAGGGCAGGGGAAAATATTTGGATGACATTTGTTGGAACTCTTGGGGGTAAAATACATTAGTTAATAATTATGGAAAACAGCATTTTCTCTGGATATGGAAGACTAAAAAATGTGCATGTTATTAAAAAAAGAATTAGGTACTTGATGTTTAAAGGCCTAAATATTTATTTTAAATGGTTATATATGTACATATATAAACATACATGTGACTTACTTTGTATATTTCATAAAGAAAAAAAATGGCAAGAATATTTCATTAATTCCTTTAGGGGATTTTGTGAAGTACCAGTGCCTTCCTGGTTACACACTGTCAGGAACTGATATATTGACCTGTAAGCTCAGTGATCAGTTGCAATTTGAAGGATCTCCTCCAACCTGTGAAGGTAAGTTCTTTCCTACACACAAAAAAATAAAATAAAATAAATCTCTTCAACATGAATGTCTTTGTATATTTTGGTTGGTACTAGTAGGATTTGAAGATTTGACAATATTTTCCTTTAAATCTTCTATCACCATTTAAGAGAATTTTCTCATCTTCCCTTCCTTTTAGAGGAAGATCTCAATATATGGTTCATGGGACAAAAATTTACCATCAGTAAATTTTTTTAAAGGAAAATATGAGAAAAAATGAGTTGAAAAGGGCTAAAGAATATGTAGAGGTGTCTGGACTAAGCATCTGCCCCTAATATAATCAGGACATATGTTTAGTGACTTCTTTAATTGTTTCTTACCAGGCTAACTGCTGGTTTATTCTGATATACTTTTAGCGATAACCCAGTCAAAAAGTATATTGTGAGCAATATAGTGCAAGGGCCAATTGTTTTTAACTTTCTTAGAAATCCCAATGTGTTCTTCATAGAGGTGGTTGACTACTGTGGATAAAACATTAACCAGGGGTGGGAAACTTGTTGCCTTGATGCCACATGTGGTCCTCTAGGTCCTCAAGTGTAGCCCATTGACTGAATCTAAACTTCACAGAACAAATCCCCTTAATAAAAGGATTTATTCTGTAAAACTTAGTCAGTCAAAAGGACTCACCCAAGGATCTAGAAGGCCACATATGGCCTCGAGGCCATAGGTTCTCCATCCCTGAATTAAACCAAAATGTTGCCTGCATAAGAGATGACATAATGAGATGTAACGATAATAATGATGATGACGATAGCTAGCTTTTATATAACACTTTAAGTTTTGCAAAGTGCTTTGTGAATATTATTTCATTTTATCCTCACAACAACCCTGTGAGCTAAGTATTATTATTATCCTCATTTTATGGATGAGGAAAGTGAGACAGACAAAAGTTAACTGACCCACCCAAGTTCATACAACTAGTAATTGTCTGAGGCCAAATTTTAACTCAGGTCTTTCTGACTGCAGGCATAGGCTCTGCCAACTGTGTCACCTAGCCACCTCAAGAACTACACCCTATTGTACCATAAAGAACAGTACACTAGTAGATTATAAACTGTGCTTGTGGTTCACCCCCGTCTCTCTCATGCTGCTAATTAGCTGTATAACCTTGGGAAAGTCAATGAACTCCTCTGTCTCACCTGGAAGTAACGTTTTCCTGAGGGATAGTGAGAAGCCAAAGCAAATGATCCCATAAATTCCCTACAAGCTCTAGAATCTATGAATCTGTATGGTATGAGAATTGGAGTACTATTTAATTTTAAGATTTTTAATATAGTTTACTTCTCTCAATTCTCAATCACTTTGGATTTTTAAGGCCTACCTACCTAGTTATTTGTGTTATGTATAATATACCCACCCCACCCAAAATACAAAAACAAAACACAGCTTCTGGGATGAATAACAAATTTGTCTAGTTCTTATGGGCTAAAGCATCTTGTTACCACATTTCAGTGTCTTAGTGCATCTTAGAAAAGTATACTTTTAAACTGAACAGGACACCTATGTCTTGGTTCTGTAATGCTCAAATGCAATGTTTTATAGGAGTCATTTCCTGCTTCCCCTAGCTCGTAATTCCTAACCTCTCCTCCAAATTACTTTCCATCAACTCTGCATATCTTGTATGTACATTGTTTTATCATGTCTCCCTCATTTGGATGAAAGCTACTTGAGGGCAGGGACTGTTGTTGCTTTCCTTGTATCCCTAGCACTTAGCACAATGCCGGTCATAGAGTAAGTACTTAATAAATGCTTGCTAATCTACTGATGGACTTTCCCAGATACAGTTCATTTTGACTTAAATGAGAATGATCCATGACAACCTTGGAGTCACATTTTGCCAGTGCAAGTGGGAAACCTTTTCTATATATAAGTTAATGAATAAAGACGAGCAGATTACTTCAAAGTCACCTCAGCTATCAGCCATATTAGTGGGTTGTCATTCTCTTTTGTTATAACACTCAGCAACAGATCTATGTCTTAGGACTGAATTCACAAATCAGAGCTTTTAGATGAATATTGTGGGAACAGACTGATTCTCAGGTACTTCAGTTGAAGAATAAGTAACTAGAGGGGAAAAAAAAAGAAATGGGAATTTTAAATGTACATAAAAGAGATTTGGCAACTAGCTGGCCTCAGCTCTTCTAGAAAGCACTAGGGAGAGACCCAGGAAAATGACCAAGACTGATGGTAATTTTTGTATATATTTAAGATAATGAAGATGTATCTTCCAGAGGCCCTAGTTGACAGCTTTTCCCAATTGTTTACTGGGCTTTTCCAATTCTCCTATAGGTACAGGTGCATCTTAGAATTAATCTCAATTATTCATGAATCTTAAAATGTGAATGTTCAACTGCTCTGAAAGACCTGTAAAGTACAGGAAATCATATTCTTTGAGTCTGAAGCCTCATGCTTCATTTTACTTTTGGAGGCCAATATTACTAAATAATATTGTGTGGAGGTGCAATGACTCAGAACAAGAAAGGATCAAATTAAGAGCGGCAAGCTTCTTTAGAAGGTGTTTTTGACAGGAACTACAAGCAGATACTTCCTTGTAGTGGGGTGACAAGAGAGGGAGGGAGGTTTCTGAGAGTCCCTTGTGGAGATGCTATTTATTTTTGAATGTGTGATTGCTGCACAAGGAAAAAAAAACCACAAAAACCCTCAGCTGTGGGAAAGCCTGCCATCACTTCAGAGCTTTCACTGTAAGTGGGTGTTACTGTTGGCGACAGTATATAGGAATGAACATGAAGGAATCAAGCAGATATGAAAGGAACAAGAGAAACAAAATTAATCACAAAAAAATATTGTTACTCAATGGGGGAAATTTCCAGATTCATTTTTGACTGTTAATATGTGGGAAAAAATGGAAATAGGCAGTAGAATATAATAATACAACAATTTAAGTTGCATTTATATTTTTATCTCATTCATCCTCTTCTTTTTTTGTTAAATTAAGATTCTTCTTATAATTTAACTTCATTGTACTTCTTTCCATGGGAATAGATTTTCTAATATATTGAAATATGACATTTTCCAGCTATTGCCTTAGCAATTGATAGTAAGTTCCTTCTTCCCAGGGAGCCACAGAATTCCAGTTTTGGTTGTATTCAACCGTAGTATTAGAAGATCGCAATCTCTATGTGGTCATATACATTGAGGTTGATAGTTTCAGCAACTAATGGTGCTGGCATCTCCCAGAGAATACCACCTACTGATGATGAGTACCCTGCCCAATTGTGGTAGTGATAGGGCAGATGTGCAATTCAGATATCCCAGAATCAGATTTTTATTGGGACTGATCTTTACCCTGACACCAATGCAGGCCTGGTGAGGCTGTAACAATATTTCCCTAACACTCAGCTCTGGCTGAATTAGCAGAGATGCTCATGTACACATTCTATACAAGATTTAAATATATACATTGATTACATGTATTTTTAATATAACAAAACACTGATGGTATTTTCACTTATTGGAGGACATAATATATTCAAATAAAAAATATGGATTTGCTGACCATTGAATCATAAAAAACCTTTTAACTATGAAACTATCTTCTATGAATAATTAGTCAAAATTATCTCTCTTTTAGTATTACTTGCAATTGATTTACCATTTTAAAATATGCAAACCTTTCCATGATAAATAAATATTTAAGGGGTATTTCGAATTATTAGTCTTCTATCTTATACCAACTTCATTTTCTATGTCTTAAGATTTTTTTCTCGGTTTGAATTTTATTTTAATTTAAATAAATTATACTTTCAAGATCAAAATATATTGCATGGGTTTATATTCATTTGCTTGAGGAAAAAAAATGACCCTATCTTAAAATCTTTATATTATAATGTCTTCCAAAGGAAACATAATTAACTAGTATGAGATAACTTCTATAGATAAGATTTTTATCCTTTGGGCAAATAAATCTACCTCTCTCATTAAGGAAGAACTGATAATAAATCTTCTGGGACATTCTGATTAAATTAAATCAATATCACAACATGAATATTTCAGGGACTCTTCTATTTATTTATGAACTGTCACTAATAACAGTGGTAACTTTCACTGAATTGTTCTATAAATAAAAGATGTCTGAGGGATATATTTTTATTTAAAATTGAAGAGTAAATATAGGAATTAGGAGGGCTTATTTAATTTGAGGCTCTTTTTCAAGGTTCATATGTACAGATTATTTTTGTTCTGTTGTTTAATTTTGATACAACAAGATAGGAAAAAGTAATTATCTGCATTAAAAATGTAATTCTTCAGGGAAGCTAGGTAGTGCTATATAAATGATGATGATATGATGATGACAATGATTATGATAATGTTGTTGTGCTTTCCTGAAAATTATGGCATGATCTTGAGCATTACTGAAAAAGGGTACAAAAAGACAACCTATCTCCTTTTTCTATCATTGTAATGTAATTTGCTGTGAACTACCCAGTATTTCAAAACATTTACATGATATCCCATTATCATAGAGAAGAAATGGTTGAACTGCAGTACAATACATTAAGCATTCACTTTTTTCTAGGTATGCTGTGTGTTGAGACAGAAAAGGAGAATTAGGACTTCAAAAAGCCAGAGAGGGTCTACTTCCCTTGAAAAATCAGAACCAGGAAATGATGACATCAGGGTTGAATTTTCATTGTGACAATTTTTAAAAGATGTTTTGTTTTTACATCACACTTAAGATTACTTCCATTTCATAAAAGGTTTCTTGTAACAAAGTAAGACAGTTAAGTGAAGTAATAATTCAGTGATCTCATCTGAAAGTTAGTGAAATATTTCAAATCTATAGCAACCTCCCACTTCTCTACTAAAAACAAAATAACAGAAATCTGTTTTCTCTCACTCCTGTCTTGTACTCTATTAGAAATTAAAAAAAGAAAAGAAAAACAAATTTCTTATAATAAATATACAGTCAAGCTAAATAAATTTCCTTAATAATTGTATAAAAAATAAATCTCATTCTGTATACCAAATCTATCACCTCTCTAATGGATAGTATGTTTTGTCATTGGTCCTTTAGAATCATGAATGGTTGTTGTATTGATCATAGTTTTTATGGCTTCAAGAAGAATATATTGGAATGGATGGGGGAGCTATTATTTATCTTTGTTTTTATAGTCTCTAGTGCTTAAAAGCAGTTTTCTCATAATCTGAACTTGCTAAAATGATTGCTGAACCTATAGGATTGCTGGTTCTGCTTCATTCACCAAAATATGGAATAAGTACTATGAGAAATACATTTGTTCCCTTTCCCATTACTATCTGATTTTACCAGTTACAACTGACTCCCATGTTCCAAAATGCCCAGGGTAAGAGGCATTCCCAAGGGTCCAGTTTTCACTGTTCTATAGTTATAAAAGGAACCCTGATATGTAATAAATTTATATTTTATTTTATGTGGTAGAATGTTCTATTTCTGTATCCATAGGCATAGTAGATAGAGAGAGACCCTCTGAGATAAAAATACATTGGTTCTAGTCATGCCTCTAATTGTGGAATACTGTTCAAATCAGCTAACTTCTCAATGCCTCAGGTAACTTCTTAAGATTGTAAATTGCAAATTCCTATAGGTACCAATATGCACTGATTAAGAATGTTTCCTCTTTGGGAGTTTCTTTATCAGTGATATCTTGGGTGTGCCCACCTGTAATCTTTCTGTCTCTGTCTATATATTTATGATATTATGTATATACTCATCCAAATCTATATCTTTATATAAATATGGAGTATATATGTATGTATGTGTGTATACATACACATGCATATGATGAGCTAGTGAATATTGAAGGAAACATTAAAAAGCATCTATTTCAACCCTTCCTCCTATGTTTACAAATGACGAGAGGTAGCAGAGATGTAATGTCCAAGTTCACTGTCTTTCACTATGCCATTTTTCTCTCCCTTAGTGTTAATGTTTATTCCTTAAATTTTTGTTCTGTGGCCTGATATTTGGAAATTATTTGGATTATTTTTACATTACTTGCTAGATATCCTGATTTCTATTTTTTGATAGGTCATCCTTTCTGAATAGTATTTCACTGAATGTAACTCATTTCTCTTGAGTAAATTATAATAACTTATGTGTCTATATTAATCTAAAGTTTAAGACACAAGTTCTTCACAACAATCTTGTAATAATACTATCATCCACATATGAGGAGCCTGAGGCTCTAAAAGATTTAATTGACTTCCTCAAGGTCAGATATCTAGTAAAAGTCAGAGACAGGAACTGTAACCAATTTCCTGAACTTTAGGGCTACTGTTTTTTCTATAGCACCAATTAGGTAGAAAATTAAATAAGGGTATGATGAGGGGAAACTACATGAATGAGCAAAACTATCCATCAACAGATAATTTCCCTCAACAAGTGTGCATTGGTGTATTTTACTGAATTGATGAATCAGAACAGATTTCTTGAACATTTTTTCCCCTTAAGGGATTCTAATCCATTGGATTTTCAGCTTGAGATTCTTTGGGGAAGTGACACAATATATTTTTGTTCTTTTCTTTAGCTCAATGCCCAGCAAATGAAGTCCGCACTGAGTCATCTGGAGTGATTCTGAGTCCAGGATATCCAGGCAACTACTTTAACTCCCAGACTTGCTCCTGGACCATTAAAGTGGAAGTAGGCTATAATATCACTATCTTTGTAGAAACTTTCCAGAGTGAGAAGCAGTTTGATGTGTTGGAAATATTTGATGGTAAGAAATCCTTTAACATTCTTTTTTTTTTAAATTTATTTTGATTTATCAACTATCACTTCCATAAGCTTTTGAGTTTTATTTTTTTTTCCTTTCCCTCCCTACCTCCCTCCCCAAGATGGCATGCAATCTGATATAAGCTATACATATACATTCCTATTAAACATATTTTTGCAGTAGTGATGTTGTAAGTAAGAATTAGAACCAATGGGAAGAACCAACAGAAAGAGGAAACAAAACATAACAGAAGAAAAAAATGGCAAATATTATGCTTCCATCTGCATTCAAACTCCATAGTTCTTTCTTTGGATGTGGATAGCATTTTCCATCATAAGGTCTTCAGAGATGTCTTAGATCCTTGCATTGCTGAGAAAGGCTAAGTCTATCAATGTTAGTCATAGCACAACATGGCTATTACTGTGTATGACATTCTCCTGGTTCTGTTCACTTCACTCAGCATCAGATCATACAAGTGTTTCCAGGTTTTTCTGAAGTCTGCCTGCTCATCATTTCTTATAGCACAATAGTATTCCATTACATTCACCTACCACTTGTTCAGCCATTCCCCAATTGATGGTCATCCTTTCAATTTCCAATTCTTTGCCAGCACAAAAAGAGCTGCTATGAATATTTTTGTGCATGTTCATCCCTTTCCCATTTGTATGATCTCCTTGGAATACAGTGCTGGAAGTGCTATTGCTGGGTCAAAGGGTATACACATTTTTATAGCCCTTTGGACATAGTTCCAAATCACTCTCCAAAATGGTTGGATCATTTCACAACTCTAGTAACAATGCATTAGTGTTCCAATTTTCCCACATGTTCTCCAACATTTATCATTTTCCTGTTTTGTCATGTTGGCCAATCTGATAGGTGTGATGTGGTACCTCAGAGCTGTTTTGATTTACATTTCTCTAATCAATAATGATTTAGAGCATTTTTTTCATATGACTATAGATGGCTTTAATTTCTTCAACTGAGAACTGCCTGTTTATATCCTTTGACCATTTATCAATCAGGGTATGACTTGTATTCTTATAAATTTGACTTAATTCTCATATATTTTAGAAATGAGGCCCTTATCAGAGACACTGGTTATAAAAATTCTTTCCCAGTTTTCTACTTTCCTTCTAATCTTGGTTTCATTGGCTTTGTCTGTGCAAAAACTTTTCAATTTAATGTAATCAAAGTTATCTATTTTGAATTTTGTAATGTTCTCTATCTCCTGTTTGGTCATGAATTCTTCTGTTTTCCGTAAATCCAATAGGTAAACTCTCCCAGTTTGTTTACAGTATCAGCCTTTGTATCTAAATCATGAACCCATTTTGACTTTATTTTGGTATAAGGTGTGGTATTTTGGTCTATGCCTACTTTCTGCCATACTCTTCCAGTTTTCCCAGCATTTTTTGTCAAATAGTGGGTGCTTATCCCAAAAACTGGAGTCTTTGGGTTTATCAAATAATAGATTACTATTGCATACTTAACCTATTCCACTGATCTACCACTCAGTTTCTTAGCCAGTACCAAGCAGTTTTGATGATTGCTGCTTTATGATACAATTAAAGATCTGGAATGGCTAGGCCACCTTCCCTTGCATTTCTTTTCATTAGTTCCCTTGTTATTCTGGATCTTTTGATATTCCAAATGAATCTTGTTATTATTTTTTCTAGCTCTATAAAATAATTTTGGTAGTTTGATTGGTATGGCACTGAATAAGTAAATTAGCTTGGATAGAATTGTCGTTTTTATTATATTAGCTTTGCCTACAAGTAATGTTTTTCCAATTATTTACATCTGACTTTATATGTGTGAAAAGTGTTTTGTAATTATATGTTCATATAGTTCCTGGGTTTGTTTCAGTAGGTAGACTCCTAAATATTTTATAATGTCTACAGTAATTTTAAATGGAATTTCTCTTTCTATCTCTTGCTGTTGGGGTTTGTTGGTAATATGTAGAAATGCCAATGATTTATGTGGGTTTATTTTATGGCCTTCAACTTTGCTAAAGTTGTTTATTATTTCAAGTAGTTTTTAACTTGATTCTCTAGGATTCTTTAAGTATATCATCATCTTCAAACAGTGATAGCTTTGTTTCTTCTTTGCCTATCCTAATACCTTCAATTTCTTTTTCTTCTCTTATTGCTAGATCTGATGTTTCTAGTACAATATTGAACAGCAGTGGTGATAATGGACATCCTTGTTTCACCCCCAATCTTATTGGAAATGTTTCTAGCTTGTCCCCATTACATATGATTCTTGCTGAAGGTTTTAGGTAGATGCTACTTATTATTTTAAGGAAGACTTCATTTATTCCTATGCTCTCTAGTGTTTTTAATAGGAATGTATGTTGTTTAACTTTCTTTAGAGAAAGACAATGTCTATGTAATATAAAATACCTTTAAAGCTCTGAACACCTGAGCTCCTTGAGGGCAGGGACTTTTCACTACATACTTTATGTCACCAGTGCCTGGTAAATAGTAGGCACTTAATAAATCCTTGTTGATTGGTTTATTTGGGTAGGAATATGACAAAGATATTTCTCGCCCAAATGACAGTAAACCTTCTGTTGTCTGGCAGAATTAGAGAATTTTTTGTTGTGGTGAAGCAAATATTCTTTGTAGTAATCTGGTGTTCTGCATATATTTCCAATTTTTTAAAGAATTAATAGGGTACTCCCAACCAGGAAAACAGCAGAGTTAGACTCAATCAAGAACCATTTATTAAACATTTACCTGAAATGTGTCAGGCATGGGATATATAAAAACAAAATAAAAAATCAAAACCCAATTAAATTGCTCATACCTTTATTTACTGGCAGAACTGAGATTCAAACACCTTTATCTCTTCGGGATTTTTAGGTCTAGTCTAACTACCAAGTCCTTTGTGTATGTCATGGGTAGCACAACCAGGACTTGAATGTTAGACTTTACATTTGACCAAGTTACCTCATATAATGATGCTCTAGACACTAGTGACCAAACTTTGTCATTTTGGTCAGAGTCCAGAAAATAATGCCAAATTCTATTTTCTTAGAACTGTTTACTCTTTTCTGTCTCTGGCTTGTAATACCCTTTTTCAGCCACCCATCTTTTTAAAATTTACAAATTAAAAAAATCAAATATGAAACATATGTAATAGGTTTTTGTGGTTGTGTCCAATTCTTCATGACCACATTTGGGGTTTTCTTGGTAAAGGTACTGGAGTGGTTTACCATTTCCTCCCCCAGCACATTTTTACAGATGAGGAAACTAAGGCAAACAGGGTTACATGCTTTGCCCAGAGTCACACAGCTAGTGTCTGAAGCCAGATTTGAACTTGGAAAGCTGAGTCTTCCTGACTGCAGACCTGGTGCTCTATGCACTATGGCACCACTTAGCTGCCCTTTTAGTAGATACTGTCTTTTATATAAAGCAGTTTTTGTCAAGGAGTTTTTACTAGCACTTGTTCAGACCATTACATTTGATTTATATAAATCTCACACTAGACTTATTTGCCTCATTGACACATAGAAAAATATAATGAAAAGGGTTGAGATTATGGACTTAAAGATTTTGCGGGGTTTGTTTGGTTTCATAAAAGCAGCTTAGCCAACTAGTTGTTCTGTTTTTCATGTGTACCCTATCAAAAATAACCCAATGTTTTGTTAGATCCTCATGAAATTATATTTAATAAATATGGTTATTATTTTTTAAAAAAAGAATTAATAGGGCAATATGTATTTTAATTTAACTTTAAATCAGTCAGGGATGGGGAACCTTTTCATGTTGGAGGTCCCATTACTATTTAGCTGTAATAAGTAAGGCTGAATTTAAGAAATTTTAATTAGATATACTTAAAATCTACATTATTTTGTAAAAATATAACTACTACATACTAAATAATTGCAAAAAATGAAAATTATTTGTCAATTTTAAAGTTAACTAACCTTTTAATGATTTTATTGTGTCTGCTTTTTGTTGGAAAGCATTTGAATATTTGGGTGCAGCATGGAGGTCCACAGTTTCAGTTTATCTTCTAGATGGATATCAATCATTTGTGACCTTAAGGGCATCTTGATTTGGGTTAAGTAGGAGAATGTTTATTTGCAGTAATAAGTGATTTAAAAGCAAGAAAGCATTTTTCAGGCATATTGCTGAAGGCGTGGGTATTCTGCATTTTTCCGTATTTCAACTGGATCTTTCTTAGCATCAAACAATGACTTTAAAGTGTCATCTATTGAGAACTCAATCAATTCCATCTGTCATTCTTTAGGTGCATTAGGTGCTTCTCAAGGAGGTGAGGATGAAATACTAATTTGAGAGTGATGTCATGATTCTCAAAGTCAGTGAACCTTTCATTGTACTCTCCAGTTAATAGGTCTATAACAGCTGTGTATTCTTCAGATGATTCACATATATCGTACTGTTCATCTTTGCTAACTGGGGAAAATGTTCATCTGAAATTTCCTTTTGAAAAGTATTTTGATAAAAGATAGCTTTTTTTGAAATGCTTGGATTTTTTGCCATTTGTCATCTATAGACTTAGAATTCCTATAAAAATCTTCTTTCAGTAATTCACATTGCTGATCCTATTCTTCACAAAATTTATCTATCTGTTCTCACAGAGATAAAATATTGGCTAACCCCTTTCCCTGAGATAGCCAACACTCATTTAAATGATATAGTAAATCCACACTGAATACCTCATCATTCATCTTTAGCATGTTACAAAACTGATGATACTGTGTTGCATTTGCACAAATATAGTTAATGATACTTGTAAGTTGTTACAAAGTGTCACTTAAAATAATAGCTTTAGCACAGAGATTTGTGGATGCAAGATAAAATGAAATGAGAGAATCTGGATCTGTTACTAATTTTTTTAAATATATATCTGTGCAGTAAACCCTTCATGTTTTCCTGTCATGGAAGGTACACCATCTGTTCTTACACTCACTAAATTTACCAAATTTAGTCTAACTTCACAACATTTATCTTGAAAATTGTTGAAGATATCTGTTC